ACGTTGTTGCTAATAGTGTCCGACCAACGGATCTGAAGTATTTTGCGTAGACAACTGTTAATAAACACCTGTAATTTCTGGATGATGGCTTTCGTTGTTCTCCAGGTTTCTGCCCCATACAGTAGAACTGTCTTGACATTTTTATTGAAAATCCTGACCTTGGTGTTGGTTGACAGACAGTTGTTTTGAGTTCCAGATGTTCTTCGATTGTAGATATGCTGCTCTTGCTTTGTCGATCCGCGCCTTCACATCTGCATCAGATCCACTCTGTTCATCAATGATGCTGTCCAGATATGTAAAGGTTTTTACATCTTCCAAATCTTCTCCATCAAATGTGATTCCATTGTGAAATGCTGTGTTGTATCGGAGAATTTTGTTTTTCCTGCATTGTATTTGAACTACTAAATCATAAGTATGGATTGTATCTTAGTGTATTTAACAATCTTTTGTAGTGAACTGATCGATGGTCGGTTGTTTCAATCGATTGATGATTCTTAGCCGAACCATGTATCCCATTTTCGTTAAACGTGATTTGTCCGCTGTATCCCGCGTTTCCCTTCACATGTTGATGTCTTCATGATCCAGTCGATCACCAGGAGAAAGGGTGAGAGTAAACAACCTTGCCTAACACCGGTCTTCACTTCGAACTAGTCTGTCAATTGTCCTCCATGCACGATTTTGCAGTTTAATCCATCATAGGAATTCTACATGATATTGACTATCTTCTGAGGCACGCCGTAGCGTCGAAGAAGCTTCCACGGTGTTGTTCTGTCCACTCTATTAAATGCTTTTCCGTAGTCAATGAAGTTGATGTAGAGTGATGAGTTCCATTCAATTGATTGTTCCACAATGATCCGTAGAGTTGCGATTTGGTCTGTACACGATCTATCCTTACGGAATCCTGCCTGTTGGTCACGAAGTTAGGCGTCTACGCAGTCCTTCATCTTGTTTAACAATACCCTGTTGAAGACGTTCACTAGCACGAAAATGTAAATTCCTAGAACTTCGACCAATATAATTTTCTCCATAAGAACAGTCGAACTGATAAATACAAAATGAGGTGGTCATTCTAGGTAATTCATGTTTTAGCTTAGGTATCACCGTTGGGCGCACAGAAAACACAATCGAAGTTCACCGGCGTTGTAAGATTTTTGGTTTGTTCTGCATATTCTCTGAGTTAATATTTCGCTATCTACATCACCTCTGAATTGTAGGCGCAAATCACCAAACTGAATCACGAGGCAAGCCCTAACTCGGAATCGTGAAGGGAAATGGAAAAGAGGAAGATCAAGAAGATGAATATCAACTGGGAAGGATGGAGAATGTTGATGGGCGGTCTATCAGTCAGTCAGTCAGCTACAACGTAGGACCAGGCACATAGGTGCATCGGTCCAAGTTGCCATACCTCATTAACACAACAAGATGGACACCGGGTTCATAAAAGTGGTTAATTCAGTTGTGGTAATATATAAAAGAAAGATTGCAATAAGGATATAATACCGGAAGAAAGATATAGTTCGAAGAAAGAAAGATATGAAGCGATTTTAATCTCTTAGTTTAAGGGAAGACAGAGAGTGTATACACTGACGCCATTGTGATCGATTCTGAGCCATATCATACAGTCTCCAACCATTGGTTACGATAGTCACGCGGACCCCAACCAAGTAGTCTGCATCTACCAATATGACTAAAATTAGAAGTTAGTGACTTCAAGCACTGATGCCGTCTTGGTTTGTCCGCCTTTAACATTCTTCCAAACATCCCGAACACCGGTTAGCATTGCACGTCGTGGTAATCGGTCTTCGGGGATACGTAACACGTTACCCAACCATCTCAGTCGATGAAGATTCACAAAGTCATCAACTGATTTACCATCATTCCTTAATACCCTGCGTCTATGCTTCACCACGACGGGTGACAGGTGTAAGCATATCATATTTTATAGGTTAACATTAATACAAGTAATACTATTAGTGTTTACATACAGTAAATAACACAAAGTAGAACTTGCAGATAAATCAAAGAACAACTAATCGATATTGATCATTCGTGTATAATAATAGAAAGAGCAATTTTGTTCACTTAATAATAATTAGGTTGAAAATTGACGAGTTCCTAATAATTGAAGGTATGTGAAGTAACAATCTTGAAGTTGAGATAACAATGTACATAGCGGAATGCAACTCATTTAATTTTTGTTTATATAACAACCAAGTCAATACTTGAGTTTACTGTTGAAAGATTCTTAATATTAAACCATCAATCTGTAAGGTTTAGAACGATTGACTCAAATGAAGCAAAGGCTATTATTAATTTGGAGTTATGTTAAAACTAGTGTACCCCTATTATCAATATGATTAGCACTAACTAAAGACTAACTACTCTAGAGTAAAATGAAAGTGTGATATGATACAACAATCCTGAGAAAACTAACTTCTAAGTCAGTGAGCATGTTTCTTTCTACTTCTTCTTCTTCATGAAATGGTATGATCTTAACTAGTTATTCTCACATGTTAACACAAATACAACAGTGATTATATGCATAATTAAAAGGCTATCGTGATCATATGACACCTTAGACTAATCAAAACATACATCCTAATCATCAATCAATGAGGCTAAAGTATAAGATAATGAAAGTCAATACAGGGTTATATACGTTTAATTAGAACTACAATATCGAATGTCATTTACAAACATCAGTCAGTTAGTCAGCTACAACATAGGACCAGCACATATATGCATCGGTTCAAGTTGCCATACCCCATTAGCACAAGATGAACATCAAAAGTCATAGAAGTAGTTAATTCAATAGTAGTACTATTTACAACAAAGATTGTGTATAAGGGCAGTACAGGAAGAAAGAATTAGAGAGAAATGTATAAAGCAATTTTAATATCACGGTTTAACAGAAGAAAGAGTCTGGATATATACACCTACATCATTATGATCGATTCTGAGCCATATCACACACAGTATCCAATCATTGGTTATGATAGTCACGCGGACCCCAACCAAGTACTCTACATCTACCAATATGACTAAGACTAGAAGTTAGTGATTTCAAGGACTGATACCTCTTTTTGGTTTGGCCGCCCCTAACTCTCTTCCAACCATCCCCAACATTCACATCTTTCCAAATGGAAGATTTCTTGCTTATTACTACCTATCATAAAATTAATACTCTATGTATTCTTTTGTGAAACACCTTAAAGATAATTACATGATTGATTGTTTCAGTAGAATTGTAAATGACATTTTGTCAAAACTAGTCAACTTTAGGACTGATGGACACATACAAGCATAAGGGTTTTTGTTGGAGATGGTCAGTGAGACAGAAAAATACCGTTGAAACGATTTTACACTAATACAATAACTTAGATAAATGAAATATGCACTGATTTAATAATTGGAACTTGTCATTCATATCCAGTAGATGCGATTCAAAACTTACTCATAAGTACATGAAACTCTCATGGAACTTTTGTTCAACTTCAGATGATAAGACTAGATATGTTAATAATTGAGAAGACTATTAACAACTTAAAGATATTAGTACTGATTCCATTGATACACTACACCTATTGGGCAATCTTTTCATTTTATTTATTTAAACACAAATATTGGTACAAGGAGGCATCTAGTAGATATAAGCTACATAAATCATTCGACTTGTGTAAGGGCTATGATACTGCCCAGGTGCCCAAACCGAAGTAGGTGATTTTCTTGGGGGGACCACACCCACAGCCTTCAGCCTAAAGTTCTGATCCACAAGGAACGAAGTGAAGCAACGTCAGGAGATACAGTTCCATGATAGCTGGTGACGAACAATAGGTTCATACAACATCTGTTCCTTCAAGATACTGGAACTCATGTACACCATTGGTTTGGAACATGGGTTTTCCAACTCGTCTACGTGGACTCTCCATACCCACCAACCCAATTAAAGCGCCGGACATTCGATTTTCGTCTTCTCAATTTCGTAAACAACACCCCCGCCTCGAGATGGCAGTGAGTAGGACTTCCAAGTTAGTGATTGTATGCGTAATTGAAAAGACTATTAACAATCTAACGATATTAGCTCTCATTACAATGATACATTGTACCTATTGTACTATCTTTTGAAATGATCATCAAGTCGATTACGTAAGTATCCACACACACACACAATGTTTGTAGTAAGATACTGAACGTACATATAAAAACAAAATTACATACATCTGACCCCATAAAATTATCACTATAAATAAGGATGCACAATTATAGAACATCAAGTCATAATATCAATATTAAATTTTATTCCCCAATTATTAAAAGCAAAAAAAATCTTAATAATAAACGATTGTACAGCCTAAATTGAATTGAAGCCCAAAGAGACAATTAACAAATAGAATATTGATATATCTGTCTATAAACAAACAAACAAACAAACATATTTTCACTCATGGTTACTTGAATGGATCATCTATTGAATAATGAAGAATATCAAAAGGTAAGCAGAATAACGTCTCCAATGGATCTGGTGACATAGAGACAAGATAATATTTGAATACTGAAAATCTTTGCTTATAGGGCACAATACAAATAATACTTGATTTCTGTTATTCTGATATAGAAAGTTTACATAGGTAAGCTGATTGAATGAAATAATGATAAATAGGGAAACTTAAGCAATAGACACTGATTTATATAAAGCTTACAGATATTTGTATAATCTATGTATATATATGTAATATGCATGTGAATAGAAGCGGACAAATCGAATGGATGATAGTAATGAAAAGAGAAAAAAGAGAAAAACGAACTTACAATCCGATAACATGCAAATATGGATTGAGGTGTAGAGATTTATCCAGCAATTAAAGAGGATATATCGAAAGGGATAAACGAATAGATCAATTGGTTAATCTGTTGACTTTTGAATAACCAAACAAAATTTATAATCAACAAAAAGAAGAAAGAAACACTTTCCAATATTTTCTTCGTTGAATTGAAATCTTTCAACGTGTTGAACGTACAACAACTCTTTCTGTACGTACTGATATACAACGTGAACTCATAATTGCTAATATAGCAACTTGCATTGCAAATACTCCACCAACAGTAGCCAAAAAATATGACCATGTATTATCAAATTTTCCAGTATATACTAAAATACCAGTAACTAAACAAGCTGTACCCAAATATAATAAAATAAAACGCGCAGTTATATAACTAGCAGTAGCAACAATTACATCTGAACACAATCCAATTAAATCCAATATAAAGACTACTGTTAAAGCAATAACTCCAATAAGTAATAATGCTACAATAGCTATAATTGCATCTTTTGAATGTCCTCTTTGACATGAATCAAACAATCCTCCACATCTCCATTGTGATGTTGCCATACCAATAACAATTAATGTTATAGCAAGACCAAGAAGTATAGTAGATAACCGACGTAATTCAATCATAATTTAATGAGACTGAGATATAATAATGATTATAACAGCACACACTTCACGAAGAATCAATTATAATTATAATAATAGAACTAATTTATATCTTATATTCACATAATAGAAACTGGCACATTCATTGTTAATTAACCAATCATAAATATTGACATAGATAGATATACAAAGGGGTGTTTAGTGTTTAAAACATTTCCCTCATTAACTTTAAACCGGATACTAAAATAAACCAATAATAATTTAGTTAGTCTCTATATGCACACTACCCAATGAAAGTTCAGATTTGAATTATTGATCATGAATTATTAACCAATTATCCTTTAAATGACTGAAGTTGATTAATCGAAAAACAAAAAACAAAATAGAAACCACTGACCAGTTTTATTTATCCAATAATCACTAAGATAGAAACATCAACTTTCTATTCCCATTTTCTAATCGTTAGGAGACATTTATGGTTGGACACTAGTGCTGCAGCCTGTTGGCTTTAGTAACAACGGTCTGATTATAGCATTCTTTGATTTTGGAAATTATGTATGAAGTCGACAAGATTTTTTTTACTTTATATACAGTATTCATGTGTCCTAAACTTGAGTACTGTATACAAACGACTAATCCCTGCTTAAAACAAGACATTTAGCTTTTCGAAAAGATACAGAGAATAGCAATTAAGCTGATTCCTGGAATAGTGAAGCTCTCGTATTTGATGCTCGATTGACTAAACTAAACTTATTCCTGTTATCATATCGAAAACTAAAGGTGACTTGATTACAGTTTTCAAATTACTTAGTGATAAATTTGCACCTGATATGCCCTCATACTTTTGTGTCTTCAAAAACAGAGAATTTACGAGGATACTCCATAATAGTTCACAAGCCCAGAGCAAATAAATTGTTAGTTGACTATCGATTTTCCCATCGAATCAACAACGTGCAGAATTCGTTACACCTCAACACATGATTGAAACTCCGTCTGTTGACTCTTTCAAAGAAAAATTGAACCAACTGAGAGACCATCATTGTCAAGATTAACACAAGCCATCAAGCCTCCTGTCCTTTTCAAACTGAACCTGAAACTGGAACTGAAGCAACAATTGGGAGCCATTTATTTTCAGGACGAAGACTGGGAAATCATTTCGAAGTCGGGGCAATTACAGTGTCACTACGGATTAGTTATAATCTTAAACAACTGGAGAAAAGAAAATGAAAACAGAGAGCACAGAAAAACAATGAGGCTGTCGTTATTCATGTAAAAGGTTGATTTATGACCTCAGTTTTGGACATATATTATTCAAATAAATCCAACTGACCAGACACAGTAAGAAGGTAAAATATCTAAAAGCTGAGATGTTTAGTAAGTGTCCTGAGTAAAAACAATGATTCAACAATTGATGTTATTAATGAGATGGGATATTGTCCAAGGTGTAAGAATATTCAAGGCAGATTCAGAAGAGGAGTAACCATCGATGTGGCGAACAAATGATGGCACTGATTTTATTTTATGGGTACTCGTGATTCCAAAATACACAAGCGATTCTTCGAAGACATCTATGATCAAATACTTGTAATCTAGGAATATCCTCTATTCTTAATGGAAATGTTTCACATCCATAAAGTAGAACAAAGCAAATTACTGTACTCACCAACAGTCGGATTTTTAATACCCATTTCCCTGATAAGTCTGAATAATTCTCTACTGTTTACTATCATTGCTGTCTTCTCCATTTCTTCTGATGTCGTTAAACACCACTTCTCACGATCACTGAGTGCGCTTTATATCAACTTACGTTCAAGCTGTCTCCAATCCTCATCGTGTTTTGAGTCAGATGGAATTAGTTTCCGAACATATATCATTTGAATAGACGCTGCCGAAATCCACTGATTTTCTCTAAAATTTGGTTTAAGGTGCTAGTAGATATCACTACTGTTTCCAAAGCTTTACCTCGAGATGGATATCATTTTCATGGTTGACTAACTCCTTTATTTATCCCTGTAAATATTTTTTAATAATTTCATCATTAAGTTAAATTCTAGGGATTCTTCTTCTTGTGGTTCTTCCAAGTCCATTAATATGCGTACAGATACGTTTTCGAATTGTATCATGATTTGAGTTTAAACATGTGTCCCATAATGAGCATTAGACTTCTACCGAGTTTCTTCAACGATGACTAGTGGCAATATGATCTATTGGAGTATAATTTTGAGTTGATAGTGGGTGTCTCCAAGTCAGACAGCGTTTTACTTATGTTTAAAGTTGGTGATTGCTAGAAATGGACAGTTATCTGAGCATAGTTGCAGTAGATAATCGTCATTATCTGTTCGCTTAGCCCCAACACCGTAAGGTCAGCCTAAGTGTCTTTCGAATAGGTTTATTCTACCTACTTAAGAAATAAAACCACACATCATCATATTCCAGCATAGCGACTAGATTTTTGAGGGAGTTTGGATAGCTTCCTATATAACTCATCTTTGACTTCATCCGATATGCAATCAGTTGGATAGTAGACAAAGACATCGAAGAGGCAGCGGCACGTGTCCCTTTCTTTTTGAGTTCTTACTGTCTCACTTAGTCCAACATCTCACAAGTGACTGTCGATTGGAATTCAGTCTTACAGAGACTGTTCTGCTTTGAAATTGGTGCTATACCTACACCACCAATGCCATGGAAGTAGCGGTGGGATCTCTAGATACATTAAGATGAAATCGTGACGGTTCTTTATACTGACGAGGTGACGTCGGATGAGTGATTGTAATTGAATCACGTATGTGCGTTTCGGAGACGCAGCATACAACGATGGCGCGAGATTCTTAAGTCCTAGATATAGAAGCCTGTTGTCCTCTCTGACACAAGATTTTTACACTAAAAGCTTCAACATGTAATTTGTAGTACGATTTTAAGATACCGGCAATAACATTTCATTAACTCAAATCACTTGTATTAGTGGGATGTGGTGATGAAAATACAGGAGAAGGGTTAGTTGTAGGGATGGAAGAAATATTAAGAGCAGAGGTAGGGATTCCATCGTCAACAAGATGGTCTCGGGTGCAGAAAGAGGTATGAGGGTGGTTGCTTACATCATAGAAGGATACTTCTTCTTGAGGGGTCTAAAAAAGAATCCGCATTGGTAGTGATGTTAGCGGACTGGAAGTGTGATCGTAGAGTCCTAGGGACGACTGCTTAAGGCCGGTCGCGCATATGTTGGCTCTGCACTTCAAAAGGTCTCACCACTAAAGACGGAAACTCATGGAGTACAGTGACCCGTGAAATTTTTAGGTTCGACCTTTTCTTTAACTACTACCTCCCTTTGTAAGAGGGCAGCATAGATGCAGGTGCTGGTTTTTACGAGGGAAACACCTCACTGCTGCAATACCTTTCTACAGTTAGCAGTATGATTTTAATCTTAGACCTTAAGTATCTGCTTTTAGTTTTGCCGTTTTTCAACCGACCTGCCTGGGATTTTAGAACCTACAGAAACATGTGTTCCAGACAATATATCTCGGTTGAGTCATTACGATAGGCAAGCCGCTACGGTCACGACTCTACTGTTATGCTTGTTCTTATTTGAGTTAGAGCTGAAACTATGGGCGACTAGTTGTCTTCACCCAGAGATCATTCAACCAACTCAGTAGATTTATTTTCCTGAACCCATCAATTCATATATTACTATTGTCTTCAAAAAGTTACCATACTATTTGAATTGTCGACAAACCAGTGACCCAAAGTTCTCAAAACAGATTGACAGCTTACTTTTGATCGCACAACAAGTCACAAGATTCCTAAGTTCCGTAAGAGCACTTATAAAGTCAACAGACTGACAGATAGATTTCTTATTCTGCATATTCTTTAACAAAATATATGGAACTAGTTTTCTGCAATTTTGAAAGAAGACATTGGATCAAACTAGCCAAAAATATTACATCTTCCGTACAAGAAATCTACATAAGCTACATAAGATATTAATTTTTAGGACACATCATTGAACACAATTCAATTGTCAGCTAGTTAGCGAGAATCAAGATGACAGTTAAACGCTAATTTCTGAAACACGTTTTAAATACTTACTTACTTACTTACGTCCTGTAGAAAACAACTTCTTCCAACAAACACTAATCAGACAACACAATTTAAACCGTTTAAACTCTGTCTTCCAAGTTGAAGGATCTTCACTTACGAGAATTATGCCGCTACATAGTGAAAGAGGAGATTCTTCGGAAACCACGAGCTCGATGTCCCTTCTAACAAACAGAAAAATAATTAACAAATGTACATGGAATGTTTGGACAAGGTGGGAAACCGGAAGGACCAGTCAAATAGCAACGTAGTAAGGAGATACAACTTGGTTGTGCTCGGAATCAGTGAAACACATTGGACTCAAGACAGACAGAAAAGGATCAATCCAGGAGAGACACTGCTATACTCTGGTCACGAGGAAGAAAATGCTACACACGTTCAGGGAGTTGCTCTAATGCTATGCAAAGAAGCACGAAATGCACTATTGGGTGGGAATCTCATGCATTAAGGATCATCAAAGCATCCTTCAAAACAAAGAAGGAGGCAATCACAATGAATGTTATCCAGTGTTATGCACCCAGCAATAATAGTAACAAACACGATAAAGGTCAGTTTCATGAGGGGCTGTTGTCGATCGTAGAGAAGTGACCTGGAAACGAACAGATCTACCGGACAGGTGGTCTAAACGCCAAAATCGGAATGGACAACAATGGTTATGGCGATATCATGAAACGACATAGACTGACCAGTAGAAACGAACGACAGTGTTGAGAGATTTGCAAATTCATGTGCATTCGATGAATCGGTTATTGGTGTCATAATACTTCCACACAAACGCATATGCAAAACTACATATATATCACCGGAACACAGATAGATCATATTTGCACCGATAAAAATATTCAGAAGATCCATAGAGGACGTGAGAACAAAAAGAGTAGCTGACATAGCTTCAGATTATCACCAACTGGTAGTTGCCAAGATGAAAC